GAGCACATCAGAGGGACAGCTCAGGTTGGCTGTTTTGGGGACAAGGTCAGAGAGGCCAGATTGAGATGGTTTGGACATGTGCAGAGGAGGGATAGTGGTTATATTGGTAGAAGGATGTCGGAGATGGAGCTGCCAGGCAAGAGGTCAAGAGGAAGGCCAAAGAGGAGATATATGGATGTGCTAAAAGAGGACATGAAGTTAACTGGGGTGAGAGTAGAGGATGCCAAGGATAGAGTTAGGTGGAACAGATGATTCGCTATGGTGACCCCTAACAGGAACAGCCGAAAGAAGAAGTTTTTCTGCTCTTGTTCACCCACAGGTTTATCTGCTTGATCTGTGCAACGTCTGTGAAGTACAGCTTTAGTGTTTGTGTGTGCACACATGGTAGTGCACTTTGTTCATTCACTACGCTGGCTTGCGTTCTAACACCTTTCCACCACACAATGATGCACAAAATAAATAAAGAATCTAGTGTTTTTGGCTCATGACAAGGCAGTAGTCAGTATTAGAAATGAATGAGTTTGTCAGAGTTTTTGCGCACACACACAAACAAAGAAAAAACCCAGAAGGTTCATGGTAGGGAGTATCACTAAAATAACAGTATGTAGTTTAAAAACTTCATAATCAATATTGTAATGGTTATATAGGTTGTTTTGTTCAAGTACTTCAATTTAATTGTTGCTCAATTTCGGTGAATCTACATGTCTGCATTAAAATATACAATAAAGTAAAATACAGGCAGGATGTGTAGGAGTGCTGTGCTCATGTCAGTACTAATTGTTATAAATGATCCAAATGAACTATGCAGGCTTACATTCCGCTGAGGTCCCAGGATGTTAATATTTAATTTAATCTGGTCATCATGACACAACAGGGCACTAAAATGTCATATTCATTTTATGCACGTTTGACTAGACCTCTGGAAAGTCTGTGTGATTACATTTAAGCAGAGTGCAATGACGAGTACATGCTCAGGAGCAGTGACTGTATGTCCTAATTGTCTAGACAGGATGGTTTACCTCATCCTCTTTAGGAAGGTATAAAATCCCTTTATCAGACTTTGTTTTGTTAGGGTGATTTTCATTTTTAGATAGAAATGAATAATTAGTTAGGGTTTTTATTATATAGCATATAGCATATACAGTCGTGAAAAAATTAGGACACCCTTTGAAAGCATGTGTATTTTGTAACATGTTTTAATATATGGTTATTTAATCTCAATTTTAACAATACAGAGAGATTAAAGTAATACAACTAAACAAGTAAAACTGAAGAAAAGTCTTTTCAAGATCTTCTGTAAATGTAATTCTACAAAAATGCCTATTCCAACTGAGGAAAAAGTTAGCACACCCTAGCCCCTAATAGCTAGTGTTACCTCCTTTGGCTGAAATAACTGCAGTGAGACGGTTCTTGTAGCCATCTAATAGTCTCTGACATCGGTCTGAGGGAATTTTATCCCACTCCTCAATGCAGAATTGTTTCAGCTGTGAGATGTTTGAGGGGTTTCTTGCATGTACAGCCCTTTTCAAGTCACCCCACAGCATCTCAATGGGATTCAGGTCTGGACTTTGACTCGGCCATTCCAGGACTCTCCATTTCTTCTTTTTCAGCCAGTCTTTGGTTGATTTACTAGTATGTTTTGGGTCATTGTCATGTTGCATGGTCCAGTTCCGCTTCAGCTTTAATTTTCTAACCGATGGTCTCACATGTTCTTCAAGCACCTTCTGATACACAGTAGAATTCATGGTGGATTCTATGATGGTGAGCTGACCAGGTCCTGCTGCAGCAAAGCAGCCCCAAACCATGACACTTCCACCTCCATGCTTCACAGTTGGTATGAGGTTCTTTTCCTGGAATGCTATGTTTGGTTTACGCCAAACATGTCCTCTGCTCTGGTGTCCAAATAATTCAATTTTGGACTCATCTGTCCAAAGAACATTATTCCAGAAGTCCTGGTCTTTGTCAACATTCTCTCTGGCAAATGTCAGTCTGGCCTTGATGTTTCTCTTAGAGAGCAAAGGTTTCCTCCTTGCACGCCTCCCATGCAAGTTAAACTTGTGCAGTCTCTTTCTGATTGTAGAGGCATGCACTTCTACATCAACAGTAGCCAAAGCCTGCTGTAGGTCTCGAGATGACATTTTAGGGTTTTTGGAGACCTCTTTTAGCATCTTGCGGTCTGCTCTGGGGGTGAACTTGCTGGGGCGACCAGACCTGGGCATGTTGGCAGTTGTTTTGAAAGCCCTCCACTTGTAGACTATCTTCCGGACAGTGGAATGGCTGATTTCAAAATCTTTTGAGATCTTTTTAAATCCCTTACCAGACTCATAGGCTGCTACAATGTTTTTTCTGAAGGCCTCTGACAGCTCTTTTGCTCTCACCATGGTGCTCACTCTCACTTCAACAGTCAGGAGCACACCAAACTAAAGGTTGGAGGTGTAGATGGGGCAAGCCTCATTCAAAATGCTGAGTAACGATCTACTAATTATGTGCACCTGGTGTGATATACCTGTGTGTGATTTGAGCCATTTTAAGAGGGCATACATGTGAGGGTGTGCTAACTTTTTCCTCAGTTGGAATAGGCATTTTTGTAGAATTACATTTACAGAAGATCTTGAAAAGACTTTTCTTCAGTTTTACTTGTTTAGTTGTATTACTTTAATCTCTCTGTATTGTTAAAATTGAGATTAAATAACCATATATTAAAACATGTTACAAAATACACATGCTTTCAAAGGGTGGCCTAATTTTTTCACATGACTGTACATGGAACGCCATAACCAAGTGGCTGGCATAGTGTACAGAAACATCTGTGCTGAGTACAGGCTGGAAGACCCAAAGACAAAAAAGGAAAAAC